CAACGATAAAGAACAATGATGAATCTGCAAAGCATCTCACAACACAGATAAATCTGGAGGGCATTATGCTGTGTGAAATAAATCAATCACAAAAGAACAAATATTGTATGAGACCACTACTATAAAAACCCATGAAAAGGTTTACACACAAACAGAAACAAACTTTGACAGTTATGAGGGAGGGGAGGAGTGGGGAGGGAAAACAATTAAATAGAGAATAGATAAGTGGTAGCTTTGGTGAAGGGTAAGACAGTGCACAATACTGGGGAATCCAGCACAACTTGTCCAAGGCAAGGTCATGGAAGCTCCACAGACACATTCAAACTCCCTGAGGGACCAAATTACTGGGCTGATGGCTATGGGGACCATGGTCTCAGGGAACATCTAGCTCAATTGGCATAACATAGTTTATAAAGAAAATGTTCTACTTTCTACTTTGGTGAGTAGCATCTGGGGTCTTAAAAGCTTGTGAGTGGCCACCCAAGATACTATATTGGTTTCACCCTATCTGGAGCAAGGAAGAATGAAGAAAACCAAAAACACAAGGGAAATATTAATTCAAAGGACTAATAGACCACAACTACCACAGACTCCACCAGACTGAGTTCAGCACAACTAGATGGTGCCCGGCTACCACCATTAACTGCTCTGACAGGGATCACAATAGAGGGTCCCAGAAACAGCTGGAGAAAAAAGGAGAACAAAATTCTATCTCACAAAATAAAAACAATCAGACTTACTGGTCTGACAGAGACTGGAGAAACCGTGAGAGTAGGTTCCCAGACACCCTTTTAGCTCAACGATGGAGTCACTCCTGAGGTTCACACTTCAGCCAAAGATTAGACAGACCCATAATAAAAAATGAGACTAAATGGGCACACCTGTCCAGGGCCAAGGAAGACAATGAAGGAGGGTAATAGGGAACCCAAGGTTGAGAAGGGGAGAGTATTGACACGTTTTGGGGTTGACAACCAAGGTCACAAAACAATATGTGTAGTGATAGTTTAATGAGAAGGTAGTATGTTCTGTAAACCTTCATCTAAAGTGCAATAAAAAAGAAAGAAAATATATGCAGCACACATAGACATGTAGATACTATGCCTATATTTATTCACATATGCCTTCCTGTACGTATTTATGCAGACTTATATGTCTATGTAACCAGACACATATTTAAGTTGTTGTTACTGTTGTAGAATTTTATATCACCCAATGAATGTTTTTTAATTTCCACCTAAACTGTTCATTGACGTTAATTATATTTATCATAATTTGTCAATGTTCACTTTAACTGTGTCTATACCCTACTATTTGTGCTCAGGCTCTCATCTTTACTATGGTTGTTCTGTGCTCACTACTTCCACGCTCTGAACCACATTTCCTATCACCAAAAGTAACGAGTATCTAAGTTCTAAATCACAGTTACCCCTGCCCCCCTCTTCAGTCTGGTAACCACCAACTAATACTGGCCGCTCTATATTTATCTGTTCTTGTCTTCTACAATATTTGTCCTTATATGTTTGACCTCTTTCACTTGGCATTATGCCCTTCAACCACTTCCACTTTCAAGCTTATTCTTTCACAATTCTCTTTTTCTTTCATGCTATTCCTTCTTAGGATAAACAGTGAGTTCAAAAACTGGGCTCTGCAACATTAGCTGTGACCTTGAGCCAGTCACATAGCCATTTACTTACCTGGAGGACAGAACAAGGAGATGTATGTTACAATAGGCTTGGTAAAGTATGCGGCACATAATAGGCCACAGTTTTAATTTTTTTTCGAAAAGAAAAAGAAAGAAGTCAAAGTTACATATTGAAAGAATAAATCCCAATATGACAAGTTTTTGCTATAATACTTTTGTTTGCTTTTTTAAAATGAGGAAACAGGCCTTCTTTTGAAAAACGGAACCCTTGTTACACAATTGAGCAAACAAAGAACCTTGACAATACACTGGGCAATCCATTCCATAGCCGAGAATATTGCTGTGTAATTTTAATCATAATCTGTGTGAATCCGAGAATATTTGTGGAGAACAAGAAAAATATGTGGCAAATAACATTTGCACCAGTGATAGAAGTGCAAGTCAGTGACAATTTCAACTCTATTTATAACAACA